GGCTGCTGCGCGGTGGAGGCCTCTGAAACGTGTCACTGGCTTGGGGGGAGGTTCGAGTTAAGGGGGTGCCTCTTGCAACCGCAGCGCGGCCCGGCAGGAGGAGAGTGCTAGTGCTGGCTGGGCCCCTCCGGTGAAAGCAGCGCTTTGCTGAAATAAAATGGATGTTTGCAGTGCGCTGGAGACGGGAGTGTGTATGATAGCGCTGTCTGGTCTCAAGTGAAGCACGCCGTAGGAAGTTGTTCACAAAACTTCTTTTTCCCTCCAGTGACAACTCGCAGGTTTTTCAGCCTTACGTGCTGCGAACTCGCAGGAACAGTACAACAGTCATGAGCCGTCACAGTATGGTAAGGAATCTGAAGCACGTTTTGCTTACACCTAACAAGGAATAATTGGGCTGGAGAAATGAAGTTAAACTTGATTTGTGTTTGCACTAAATATTCTAGCAAGCTTCCAAGCCGCAGAATATGCGGTTTTTTTCACCTCTAACTGCTACCTACCATGTAATAATGCTGGTGTATTAACTGTATCTCCCCAAGAAGAGAAAAACAGCTGAAGCTACGTGTGATTCCCAGTATTAAGTACAGTCTTAAAGGTAATTTGGACCTGGCCATCGGCTGGAAGAGAAAACTGCTTTCACAATTAAATGTCTTGAAAGGGTGTTTTAATTTGTTTTAAAAGTGGAAGAGAGAGTCATTGACCTGTTTGTTTGACAGGGACAATCGTTTTTTACAAAGGCTGAACACTAGACATCAGAAAATCATTTAAAGAAGAGTAATTTATTTGCTGCCTCTATTACATGAGCCTGATAGTGTACAGTACTGCAGTTATTTAACTTTTCAAAGATGTTGCATTTCTTTTTTTGACCCTTCCCTTGTTAACTCAGGGATCTATATGCTCTTTTCCACTAAAATTTTTCTTTCTCATCTGAGGGTAGTGAAGATAAAGTACTGCTTTTCTCAAGATCCATAGAACTTAAAGTCCTGAAATATGTTTCTTATGTGTCTTCTGCTCAGAAAAAGTGAGATGGAATTTTAGTTCAAAACCTTCTCCTATGAGGTTTCTTAAAAATAAGAATCCAGAATTTTGGAACTCAAATCAGTAGGTGTTACAGTAAATGCATGGACATCCTGAGTGGGAACTGGTGGCCCGCTTGTATGTGATGGTAGCCAAAGTTCCAGAGCAATTACACGTGTAAAATTGCATGCAACTGAAAAATTGCAAAAGTAAAGCTTTCGGGAGTGTTGTTCCAGACTGAGCTGAAACACTGAGGTTCTTCCTTTGTAGCAGCCATCTGGATGAGATGAGTAAGTTAGTACAGGAGTTTGTCATCTTACTGTAGGCTGTAGGGAATGGTACAATGTTCATAACTTCATTTATAACACCTCACCTGTCTAAATGGCCTATATAGCTGTTAGTGCTTAGGATCTCAAATACACAATCTGCTTGCAAGTCTGACGTCTGTGCCACTTGCTGAGTGACAGAATGAATTTGTAAGTGGTAAAACAAGTCTTTTCTCTTGAAGGTCAGTGTTTTCTTTTTGCAACATTATTTGAGTCATCCACATGTACAGCTCATTTTTAATTCACTAAGAATGTAGGTGATGGTAAATAGGATGTATGCAAGCTGTTGATGTGTGTGATTTAATCATCATGGCTGTCACTTTTTTTCAGTTGTTGTCATCATCTCCTATTCGTATTCCTAGTAGCCGACTTCATCAGATCAGAAGGGTAAGTGTAGTTTTTATGTGTGTATTTAGTAACATAATGAGAAATATTGTAATATTGAAGTACCTAATTTCTTTCCTACTGAGTTTTTCAAGTACTGGAGGAAACGGCGTCTTTTTAAGACTTTGACCTTATGAGGATGCTTCCTTGCTGCAATTATTGTTGTCATGTTTAAACTACCTTGCGTTTTTTGAAGTGTTGCTTCATTCAAGAGAAACAGTGAGCTGGGCTGGGAGCAGTCTCTTCTTTCTAGAGTGCTCCTACTGTTCATATTTCGATTCTAATGGCAAATTATTGAATCACAAGTGTTATTTGAAGTACCTGTGATGAATGAAATGTTACGGGAAAACTTATGACTTTTATCTCCTGCAGGAGGAAGGAGTGGATTTAATGAACAGAGAAACAGCACATGAAAGGTGAGTGTTATTGAAACAAGGTGATAAAATAGCCAGTTATCCTCTTGCTAGCTACTGATGGGATTTTTTGTGTTCCAGGGAAGTGCAAACAGCAATGCAGATAAGCCAGTCATGGGAGGAAAGCTTGAGCCTGGTAATATCTTTATAGATGTTTCCTATTTAATTCTACTTTTACACTGAACTGACAAATTTAGGGGAAAGAGAGGAATTAACTGTGAAAATAATTTAAGAATAACTTAAGTTCATCTGCTGTAGCTATTTTGTTCATTTGGCCCAATGACTCCCCACTAGAAGGTTGTGCCTTGGATTCTATGGTAATGTCCCATGCCAGTGTTAAGTCTGAAACCTTGTATTTACAGAGCGACAACGACTTGGACAAGTCTGAGAAATCTTCCTCCCCAAAGAGAATAGACTTCATTCCAGTTTCGCCTGCACCTTCACCTACAAGAGGAATAGGAAAGGTAGGATAAGTGAAATACCTAACTGAGAGAACGCTGTAGAATTTTAGACCAAAGTGGATGGTGAAGATGTGTAACTTGACAAATTGATAGTTCTTTAAAAAAACTCAACCAACCAACCATAAACCACCCCCCCACCCCCCATTTTATTGGTTTCTAAGAATCAGAGGCTTACCATCTTAGAGCCTGCAGAGTTTAAACAGTGTGCCAGTTCTGCCACACTGAATGTTTTCAGTTGCTGCTATTTGTACAATATTTGGACAGGTTAGGGTTCTGGTTCTGGGGATGCTGGAAGAGATTGTTAGAGTAATCAGATTTGGACATGATCTTTGGCTGCATAAGTGGGGGGATGCTGGGGAAGAAGCACCAAAATTGGAATGTATCATATGTGTAAAGTAAGAGCGTAGGCAAAGACCAGAAGCTGCAAATCTGTGTGGTGAGGAGGATGAAAATATGTCCATCAGTTATGGAAAGGAAGGCATAAACTCAGTGTGAAGGAGGACTCGGGCATGATGAATTTGCACTGAAGACTGATAGCACACATTGGAACAATGGAAGAGGTGGATCTTGGATAAACTGCTTTTTCCAGTGAGGATTGGAAATCTGAAATGTAGTGCAGAGAAACTGACAGCTGTGTTTGAAGATGGGATGCTTGACCTTGTTTTCACCCTCTGTTGTGGTTCTGCTTTTGTGCTGCTAGTATTTTATTGCGTGCCTCTACCTGCATTGATGGATGGAGCAGCCCCATACTAGTGCTGGGTAAATGTGTTCCTAGTACAACACTGAGGCTGGCAGCTGGTCCTGTACCTTTGGAATCACAACTGTAAAACAGTTGTAGATAACTTGACAGAAACATTTTTGCACTTAGCTGTGGGCGTTCATGGGCTAAGCTCAGATTAACTGCAGAGCTAAATACTCAGTTCTACTCTGGAATATTGTGTTAAATTGTCAGGTCAGATGTATTTTGAGTAAACTCAACTTGTTTGTTTAACAAGCCCCTTGAAAGAAGTAAGTCCTGGGTACTGTACTGCTGTTTCTAAATGTAACAGGAAGAACAGAAACAACTGTCTTGTTTAGAAAACAGTGCCTATTTCAATTTCGGATTTCTTGTGAGTTTGAATTTTAGGTTAATCTGAGCAGTATTGCATTAGCCAGTATATTTTTGCAAGTTAAGTTTTAATGCTTCTGAGATTGTGTTTGATCATCTCTTCCTTATTTTGTTACTAGGTTTCCTTTAATTGCAGATGTTTTGTTTGAAGGGTGGGGAAACACCTGAATATTTAAAAGGAAATTCTGAAGCATCTTAATGTGATTTTTTTTTTTTCTGCAGCAATGTTTTTCACCATCATTGCAAATGTTTGTGAGCAGTAATGGATTACCTCCAAGTCCTATTCCCAGTCCAACAAGGCGATTCTCCAAGTAAGTAACATCTGCAAGTAACAGGTATACATTGGCTTAAATTCCAAGGCTAGCACAAAGATTAGTTAAAGCTGATGTTGAGGCATTAAAAAAGACTTAACAATAGCTGAAGTGTTGCCACATAAAAATGCTCTGAAAGTTCAACCTTTACCAATGGTAGCTTTATGTGGGCACTCTTATAGAAGCCTTGTGTCAACTTCAAGCTAGAGTTGGTAACTTGTGGGGAAATTCCTAGGTACTTCAAATGAACTTTATTAACTTTGTCAGCATATCAATTTTATATAAATATTACACACACTTTAGAAATAGATTGAAGTGAGGATGTGATGCACTAAGGAAAGAAGACCCTAGAAAATTTACGACAATTTTGCGTGGCAGATAATCTGCTCTAATAGGCAGCACTTCTTGGTTATCTATGTATTTGGATTCCCTAAGCATTCCAGTTGTGCAGCAATAGTTTCAAAAAACATATTATATGGTTGTGTCGATTTGATGCTATCTATGGTGGTATTCAAACTTGGAACCTTTACAGATCTGACTATTCTCTCTCTAGCAGGAGGAGTCAAAGTCCAATCAACTGCATCAGGCCCAGTGTTCTTGGCCCCATTAAAAGAAAAGGTATGTGTATTTATTTTATCAGATGTTTTAATACGGATGTAGTTTCACAGCTGGATACACTTCTCTCTCCTGTAGTTTTTTGTTGTTCTGTAAATATAATGCACTTGTATCCGTGGTGAACTGGAATTTGCCAGCCCTAACTTATGTTTTAGACTAGCTACTTTACATTGTATAAGAATGAAAAACTTTAAAAGCAGCTACTGCTTGAAAGAGGCACGCTGTATTCCACATCAAATTATGAATATTCGTAAGCCCTGGCAATTCAAAGCATAGCACTGTACAGTGCACACCCTTCAGATCATCTTAGGAATGTTGCTTATCGTGCAGTATCTCCTAAACTTAGTACTGAATGTTTGTTTTTACTCTGAAAGTTCAGAAGGTGAGTGTTTAGAGAAATGGAATAGATCAGTGTTCTTTCCTCCCGAAGGGGGAAAACTGCATTCCTTCCTGGAAGTACTCTTTGTTAAGGATATTCAAATTACATCCCAGAACAAGTCTCCATAGCAGAACTGTAAGATTGAGATATTTACAAGTATGCCTCTAGCTATGCTTATCCTGTCCATTATTCTTTAACTCAGGCATTCTTGACTGCACCAAAAGCATGTCCTTTTATTTGACAAAAATTATTTTTAGCCTTTGAGAAAAGTTGCTATTTATTTCCTTGGGGGAGAGGACTGCTTTTTCTATAAGATAAAGAGTGTTGTCTAACTTACATTGAATTGACAGGGGGGAGAGACACAAGTATTCTTACAGATGCCAATTCTATATTGGCTGTTATTTTCTATGATTTTTAGAAGCATTAAAAATGGCGTATAAGTTTATCAAGCTCAATGATCAATAGGAAGTAGATCTTCATCCTGTGTTGTTTTACTTGAAACATTTTACAACAGACTTAGGCAGACTGCATTAAAAAATGGTGCAGGTAAAGGGCAAGCTTTCCTCACTCCGTGTGCTCTTGTGGAGCATTTTTTACGACGTAGAGATATGAGTTTGCCTTTTTTACTTTAATTGTCAAGGAATTTTCAAAATATTACTTAGTTTTAAAACATCTAACCCATTTAAATGAACCTAATTTCTTTTCCTAAATACATAATCCTGTTATTTTCTGAGTTTTGGCAGTAGCTTTATGGTTCACATTCTACAGATGTGATGTGGTAACAAATTGGCACCGTGATACGTGGAGGGAAGAAAACAATGTATTGAAGAACATTTTACTGCTATAGGGAATGAATACTGGCAGACTGCACAATGTGTTGTAGCAGTGCAGATTTGCCGTTGTGAACTTTCAAGTGGCAAAAGAGTTACCTAAGTTGGTGGTTTGGGTTTTCTTAATTTTTGTATAAAACCAAGTATTCTATAAATATTTTTTGCCCATTTTGCTGGATAGAAGCTGTTACTCCTTTTTCAAAGAAGGGAGTATATCCCTGTGGGAGAAAGGAAATGGGAAATTTGGGGGTAGTTGTCAGCCTTTTATAAAATGAGTGGTAGTATAATTCTCTTGCATAACATATTAATATATACTGGTTTGCTATAATGCTTAGCCTCTGTCAGCTTTTCAAACTGACACCACAACTGCTGTGAAGTGTAGGTAAAGAGCCAGAAAACTTATTTCCCTTTCATATGTTTTTGTTGCCAAACTAAAAATTAAAATATACTGTAGCTGAGAGGGTTTGGGTTTGTTTTTTTTCTTTAAGCTTGTTATTGGCAAGTTCATGAGATTTTCAGTGTGTCTATTGTACAGAAGCTATTAATGAGCTAGCTCATTCTCAGGGCAGATTATACTAAACAGATGATATGAATTCTCCCCATCACGTTTAATCTTTTAATGTCAGTAGATGATTACAGGTACAAAGATAGTCTGATCCATGATGAGTAAGTGGAAATGCATACACATGCCAATTTTTTTCTATTCAGCTTTTCTGTAAAAGCGTACATATGCATCAGAATTTGTTGTACACAGGAGGGTGAAACTGTGAACCAAGCTGGCGTTCCTATTTTCATAATCACTAAGAATTTTAATGTCTGTATTTGGGCTTATGTCAGTTGCCTCATCTCAACTGCTTACTTAATTTTAAGTCACAGTAATCAGTTTGCTTTAGATTATTTTGTCTGATTGTAGTCTAAGTAGCAAGTGCCTGGGTTTGTGTCTTTGAGATCGTCGTAGCCCTTCAGATACTGCTGGAGCGTTAGTTAATTTAAGGATGGACAGGATGATTAAAGAACAGCTAACATCACACTAATGTCTTACCCAAGTGCTTGGCTGGCTGAATTAGACAACTTACCATGTTACAGATGCAACTTTGCTCTAGTGTGGGACAAACCTCTCTTTTACTATAGACAAATATTAAATGGACGTTCCAGAGACTCAAGTGAGTTTGATTATTTGCACTGTTCTCCTTAGGTGAAATGGAAACTGAAAGTCAGCCAAAGAGACTTTTTCAAGGAACAACCAACATGCTTTCTCCAGATGTTACACATCTGACAGATCTCAGTTCATGGTAAAATATTTCATGTGCCCTGAAATGCCAAAACAGGGAATGTGCATTTATCACAAGCTTTCTTGTTTTGTTTTGGGTTTTTTCCAGAAAAAAATACTTTGTGTGTAGCTTGCATATGCATATTACTGGGAACTATTCCTGTGTTAGTGTAGTGCAGCAGCATCCCTGCTCCTTTGGTCAATTCTTCCTGAGCAGACTCTAGCCTAGATTTTGTGTCAAAATTTTTATACTGAATATAATTGTTACAAATCCCTGTTGGTTCATAAGCAAAGTTACTTTGCCTCAAAGATGGTTCATCGTTTCTCTATGTTGGAGGCAGTGGTCATATAGTATCTGTGGCACTCATCTGAATACTTAGAGAATGTCTCTGTGAATAGTTACTGCAGTTACATAGTTCATGTTGACACATTCATGATTTCTAGTGTTATAGTCTGTCTCCTTTCTATATTATGATCATAAAAAACAGGTCTTTTTTTGTGTCGAGTCAGGTACTAAGTATTCTAAAATACCAACTCTATTACTATAATATCAGTTTACCGACAGACTTGAAACTGCTTAGAAATATTTTTTTGCGTTGCTTCCAGCTAAATTGCAAAAGCATTGATTTATGTGCCCTCTGGAATCTTGTATCAAGACTTTTAAATCCAGACACAGGAATTCCTTACAAGGGAAATACAGATTTCAAAATCTTTCTTTGAGTAGCGCAACATTAAAGAAGATACTAGCTAATTAATGACATCTTTGCTGCATTGCAGATTAGATTCTTACTCCTTTCCTATAACCTTTTAAGGTTTTATTCTCGTTAGTTGTCACCTTCTTTCTATAACTGATTAAAATCAGAGGCATAGTTTATTCTGCATGTTAAAAAAAAAAAAAAAATTCTGTTCCTCATTCCCGTGAGGAGCATGAATATATATATAACATGCTACAGAAAACAAGGAGTCTTCAGGGCTGCCAGTCTTGCAGTAAAGACTGAGTGGTAGTATAGGTCTCCTACATCTTTTCTACAAAGGCAAAAGAATGTTAGCGGTGTACACAAAGTCCTCGTGCCCGTGTTACTAAATAACCTTTTTCTTCTTCCTCAGCCTGTCTTCAGATATTCTTGATGGGAGTAGCAGCAGTGTTGGCTCTTCCTCTGACTCGCTGACTAAAGGCAGCATAACCACAGAGTCTCCAGTAACGTGCTCAAACTCATGCTCTTCATTCATTTTGATGGATGATCTCTCACCTAAGTGACTTAATAAGTTCTGAGTCAGTGTCTGGCTGTGCTGTTCCCTTACTGTACACTTGTACAGAGAAACGAACTCTGATCCTTGAACCATTAACGTGGATTATTAAAAGGAAAAATTATTGTAACTGTAATCCTTGGCGACTTTCCAGTGATTTTGATTTATCCATTTAATGGACATTGTAGACCATATTAATGTCTGGTTTTGCGATTTTTATTTTTTAAACAAGATGTCTGCTCAGATTATACTAACTTTTTGCTTTCAGGAACTTGCATATACTTTTTGATTCCAAGAATAGGTATCTACCTATTAGTGTTGCAATTTTTAGGAAAATACTTCTATCATTATCGTGGTCACTATGTCTAGGGAAATAATTTGGTTCAGAAGGATTTGAAAATACTAACTTATTCTCTGGCACTTCTACCATTGAGTAAAACTATTCTCCTTGCTTTTTTTCAGTCACTAGTCTCAAATTCTCTTACAGAAGGGAGAAAAAAAATTTTATTTTTCTTTTTTATTTTTTTTATTTAGTGCTGCTAGTCGTTTTTGTTACAGAAGACCACAGTGGGTCTGGAAATCTCACTCTATATGATATTAAAAAAAAAAAAAACCAAAACCAAAACACAACAAAATAATTAACGACTGGCACTTTTGCCATCAGTGAAGAAATAACAATATGAACATCATTAAAATAGCTGCATAGTTCTCTCCCCAGATCCTTTATCCTACAGATTGTATGAAATAAGGTCAATATTGAGCAAGATTTGGCCAAGGAAAGTTAATCCATGCCTCGTTCTAAGACATACAGTGCAGATAACTAAGTTATTTAAACTACTGTGTAGGAGAACCATGTATGGCACCGTCGATGTCTCCTGTGGCATTGAGGTCATAGGTATTTTTGTGCCTTAGGGGACATTGTTACAAAATTACAGAATGTAAACCAGAGGGGTGGGTGGGAAAAGTCCTTTGTGTACAGCTTGTTTATAGAGTGCTTACCAGAATCTCTCGTCGATGCTGCTTTCCTTGGTGTTCCTTTCTGAGGTGTGTGCTCCATTGTGCAAGGTGCTGTGGGCAGTCCCAACTCTGCTGTGAGGTGGCAGCCAAAGTAACGCCCTTTGCCGCGGCTGCGTGCGGCATTTGTACCTGTGTTGGTCATGAGCAGGGCAAGCAGCTAAGTGAACGTTCGATTTCTAAGGAAGGACTTAAAAAGTTTGGATTGAATACGAGCTCTGCAAATTGTTCGGCTTAGGAGTTCTATTTGAGCCTTGATACAGTACCTTGGTCAGTCTGAGGTAAGACAATAGATATTTTACTTTTTAAAGACTTTAACGGGGCAAAATAAATCCGTTTGTAATCTACTGTGTTATGCTATTTATTATTTATAACTATGTAAAAAGTCTGTGGTGATGAATTATAGTATTTTTTTATGATTGAATAAGTTTTTTATGTTCAGTAATTGCTGGCTGGTTTGTATTTAATACACAACATTGTCTGCCAGAATCATAAGCTTCCATTTTTGAATGTTTGTAACATAAATGCTTTTGTTATCTAAAAGTACAACTTCTGATCTTTTTGAAAGAAAATAGCACTGAATTTAAAGTAAGATTATGTGCTTTAAAAGTGAGCACAATCTCTGGCAATACTGTCTGGCTAAAAAGGGGAGGGGGAGAACCATAGTTTTTTTTCTGTTCTGAAGAAGCCGTTGAGTTTCCAGAAGACGTGTACATACCAGATTATTTTTAAAAGTGTTTCCATTAAATTGTAAGAAGTACCATAATGGGCCAACAGTGGCGCTATTATTTGTATTATCATTTTCACCTGTGGAGCATTAGTTCCCCACCTCAAATAAATGTGCATATTGTAAAATATTGTCCATTGGTGCCATTTTTAAATGAGCTCTACAGTGTTGAATGTTAATTTTATTTGTATATGCACAGTGCTATTTCTTGAACTTTTGATGTCTTAAATCGCTTAATTATTTTTTTATTCATGCTTGTACCTTCTGCCTTCTTGATGCTAAAAGAAGGCTGCTTTTACATTTGCAAAATATTGATAAACAGTCTGTGATAAAATTCAACCTGCTACCTGTGCCCCAGTTTCATTATGCTGTGCTTTTATTGGTACTGTGATTCAGGAGTCTGAACGAGGGGTGGCAGAAGGGGGAAACCTGTTGCATGCTTTCTTAAAACCCAAAAGAGCATAGCTATTGCTTATTTTTGGCTGACTTACCTGTACAATTGATGTATTCCAGATTTGTTTGTTAGTGGAGAGTCTTATATAAGTGCTGGCCTTTGTAAACATTAGAATGTAAGCTTCATAAAGCAAACGCACAAATATTCACTCTTGTTACAGCATTTTTTTTTATTAGCGTTGTGGCTCTTCTCCACTCCAGAAGACATTGCTCTTTTATAAAATATATACGTCATATGCACGCACACACGCTGTGTCTGTTGTGTCAGGATGAGTCTCCTTGTGTAGCGTAACAGGTCCCATCTAGGACCAGGTTCTGTTTCGCATACAGAGCTGCAGGACCGGATTCTGTTTCACACACAGAGCTACAGGACCACTTGTTCGTTTTAAAGCTGAGTTTGCAAATGCTCCGATAGCTGATACTCGCACTTAACTGCGCGTGAGTTGCTGCTGCTTGACAGACTCGATCTTCATGGCAGTGTAAAGGCTAGTACGGCACACTGACTAAAAGCTGCATTTCTGGATTTATTCACTATCTTGTCTGTAACGAATTGGATACCAGTTTGGGGAAGAAGACCTGCTGGTGCTGGTAGTCAGCTTTAATATATAACTAGAGATGCTTGTGCTTAACTGGTTTTTATGACTTCACCAGACTTACTTGTGCTGAAGTGGCATGATGCGTGTCTGAGAATTCCTGTCTTCCCTCTTTTGTTAAAGTAAGGAACCATTACTGCGTATCTATTGCTGAGAATCACCAGTGATGACTTACCTTTAATGTTGTGACTGTTGAGAAGAAAGTTAAAATACCAGCAAATACCAGCATAATTCAAGCAGGGTTCTAGATGGACTGTTTTTAAGATGTTAATTAGCACAGCATTACGATGTTGGTCTTTGTGCGGCTCATCGACTAGCGCTGCCTTTGGATCCTGTCCGAAGCGCACTGAATCCTCATCTCGTGGGCTTAAAATGCTGGAAGGATTTTACCAATGGTTTAGGAAAATGTGTGTGTCAGCTGTGGAACTCTGTATGTTTTGATAATATCAAGTGTTCTGAATCAGGAAATGGATCACAGTATGCATGTTTCATTCTCCTTCATTGAATTTCAAATTGGGGATCATGGGCCCAAAAGCCTGTATTTAAGGGGCTGTTTTTCTGACTGTATGTGATTAAATACTTTCTCCTACAATGGAAGTAATTAAACTGTCAGTGGGTGAGGATGTAAATCTGAGTCCTGCAGACTTTATTGGAAATCTCATTCTTGAAATGCACTAGGAAAGCTATACTATATAAAAACAGTGAAGTGGGACTATTTTTTAAAGTCATGATAAAAATAGAGTACTCATTTTAACAACTCAAAATGCTAAAAACGTTCTAAATGTAAGGCTTTAACTTGGCATGCTTCTCTCGACAGAACCACGTTGGGGGCTGGATGCAGAGGTTAACTTGCGCAGGCTTAGGCGGATTTGGATTTCTCATATTCTGGTGCACAAACACAATAGACCAGTCTTGGGAAATTATTTTTTGCAAATATTCACATTCTTATCTGTAGACCCTGCTAATATATTGTGTGACAACAAAGATGAGAACTTGTTTTTCCTGGAGGAATTTCATCTGCACATAATCTTCCCGGTAACTTCATAATAAAAAAGCTTTGCATTAATGTGAGTTCAAATATTTCATGAAGTCATAGGACTGTTTCATTTGCTTTTTCGGAGTAAAGGCCAAGAAATATTTCTGGAGCCATACAAACTGCCTCTTGTATTCCAAGGCTATTATATAAATGGCAACTGTCCATAGTAAGTGAAAAGGGACCTTGCCTACCATTCAATAGTTCAGTCTCTCTTGAGAGCTGTTAAATAATCCTTAGCAAATTTGGTGATCGGTGTAAGATGGGTCACTGAAGGTACCAGATGACCCAGTGAGAAGGATGCAGTAACTAGCTCCTTTGACTGTAAATTATATAAATTAGTTTTAGCCCTGAATGTAGACCTAGCTTTCCAATGAAAAATAGGGTTTTCAAGCAACTGAGACTTCCCGAGTGTCTGCGCTGTTCAAAGTTGGAGGAAAAGACTCTGTGTTGGTGACTCTAGGACTGTTTTGCTCAATCTGCCCCCAAAGGAGCGAGCTATGCTACCAAAGTAGCAGTTGTCTCAGTTTTAGTCTCAATCTGCCCCCAAAGGAGCGAGCTATGCTACCAGTCAAAAGTAAAGTAGCAGTTGTCTCAGTTTTAGTCGTCTTTGGAGAGGGCAAGGAGTTGGTGGTTGGGTTTCCCTTAAGGGCTGGTCATCCAATTCACGGCTAGGACCTCTGTCACCAGGCTAAAATCAAAAGTAGATGTTGTTTTAGGGCAGGTCTGTTTTCTGAGGGAATAAACAGGCTGTGGAGCTGGTTTAAGCATGATATCCTGGGTTTGCTTCCTGCTGCGGGTGAAGAGTCTTCACGTAAGCGCGTTATAGCGACCGGGCTGCTGGCTCGGCGCTGCCATTCCTTTCCATCAATACAAATGCACACAATTTCTACTTTTAACTCGTACACACACGTACCTCAAGGCTATCCCTTTTATTAGTGTACTGGGCATTTAACGGAAGTCTCCTGTTTCAGTCCAAACCGTTTTGCATTAAAGCTGCTTTTTATTACTTGCTTTTAGATCTTAAAGCCTTTTGATATGGGGCCTGTTGGGCCTTGGGTTTGAGTCTTGCCTCTGATTAGCATGCCAGGGCCAACATTTTCTTTTTAAACCTGGAGCAATTTGTTTTGTTCTTCTTGTATTTATATGTTTGGAAATGCAGAGTAGGGAGGTTCTTGCTATTAACAAAGAATGTGTGTTAACTTTGGTGATCACAGAAGATTGTGGGGGTTTAAAAGAAATAAGACTTGCAAACACAGAACAAAGAAATACCTATTTTTAGTGAACCAATTAGGCTGGTTTGATACCGGGCTCTTTTTTTTAAATGTAGGCAATAGTCTTTTGAACGTATCGTTAGTAACAGCAACAGAATCCAACATGCTTTCACCCCCAAACACTTCTCACTGTAAAGTAAGAATTTGCTACTGAAAGACCACAAGTTTTGTTCATCTCTTAACAAACACCGGGCATGGCCTGGCTCGGTCTGGGAATACCAGTTTGCAGCTGTGATTCAGCAGCCCCATTGGTGATACCAGGCTGTCCAGCAGGTCCATTCTGGCCAAAAAGCCTCACCTTACGCTGTATAATAATTCTACCACCTTTAGTCTCCCCTAGCTTATTTCCAAGGGCCATGAAATTTTTACCTTTTATACAAACACAACTATTATTAGCTGTTAGTTACTGTAGGTTGACTACCTTACTAAATAACTGTGGTGGAATTCCTGGTGGACTTTGCGGACTTTGCACGTCTCTCGTTTGGGGGTATAACAGTTTGGGAGTTTTGATTATTTTTTCAGATAGTGCAATGTGTGTCTTCTGGAAGAATTATCCATTGTGTTTTA